GCACTCAAAAGTCATCACAGACAGTTCCATCTTCATGCAGCAGGAAGGAGGAAAGTAAAAGGGTTTATTAGAAGGTATAATGTGATAAACACATTTCCTTACACATGCTGTTTATTTTGCACAGATCCTCTTTCTAATTCTGCAGGCTCTCTCCTCTAAAGCCACTGCCTGAATGGGCACCTAGACTGAACTCCCCTTGTGTTGGAGACTGCCAAACAGACACATACACCTGACAGAGACACTTACACACTCTTGCTATAGAAATGTCAGGTTAAAAGAAGGGGATGAATGCAGAGGCCAAGGTTGGGGCTGAAGCTGGGAGTAGGAGGGTGGGCTTGGGTGAACAGGACTGGGAAGCTGCCCTGAAAGCTTTGTTTTTCCATCCCAGCTTTCTGTGATGAAAACATTCTTCTGGTTCACAGCAAAGACAAAACCTTATTTTTCTTTGGCAAAATACATTTCTGTAGATCACAAAGGCATTCTTTCTTACCTAGACCTTGTATCTGAAGACAGTGACTTTTCTGTCTAGAACTGTGTGTAATCAATCCCTATTAACACATTGCATTCTAATCCCAAAATTATGAGTGAAAATAAGCATCTTGACTCATTCACATTCAAAACCTCTTACCCAAAAGATAGGAGAGATTGAATTCTTTGTTTTAATCATTCAGAAACAGCAAGTAAACACGAAACAGGAGCACTTTTAATCATACATCCATTCTTTTGACACAAGACACGCTTTGCCACAAGAAAGTTACTAGGACAGGCAATTACATAAGCAGGTAAACTTAAAAGTTTTTTTTCTCTTTGCCAGTATTTAAATTTTTCCATTTTATACTACCCTAGTATACCACTGAAATTTTTCCAAGACAATTTCCTATTTGACCAGACATGTGGAAAAAAATGTGGTGGTTTTGTTTCCCAGTTTTAAAAAGAAATATATAAGCTTGATGTCTTTCTGATGCCTATAACTTCATTACTATGAGGTACAAGTATGTATTAAGAAAAAAATTTTCCTGAGGCTCAATGAAAGGGAATTTATACTTCTGAAATATATTTAATGTATACATTTTAAATACACTGAAAATCTTCTAATCTGGATGCTAATATGAATCTTTACATTGTAAGACAAGAGAGCATGGTCTTAAGATGTGCCAGGGGAGGTTTAAGTTGAATATTAGGAAAAAGTTTTTACAGAGAGAGTGATCAGACATTGGAATGGGCTGCCCAGGGAGGTAGTGGATTCACCATCCCTGGAGGTTTTTAAGATGAGACTGGATGTGGCACTTAGTGCCATGGTCTAGTAACCATGATGGTGTTGGATCAAGGGTTGGACTTGATGATCTCAGAGGTCTCTTCCAGCCCAGTTGATTCTATGATTCTATGATTGTCTATAAACAGCCTTTATACATTTTAAGGAAAGAAAAAACATGTAAACAAACATGAAGTGTTTGACACCAGATGGTTGTTCCACCCTCCAAAGGAGTACGAACAGGTGGGAGAAATGGGCCAACAGGAACCTCAAATTCAGCAAGGGGAAGTGCAAAGTCCTGCACCTGGGAACAAACAACCTCGGGCACTTTTATGTGGACATGACCCAACAGTGTGCACTCGCAGCCCAGAAAGCCAACTGCATCCTGGGCTGCATCCAAAGCAACGTGGCCACCAGGTTGAAGGAGGTGATTCTCCCCATCCACTCTTGTGAGACTCCACCTGCTGTGTCCAGCTTTGGGGTCATCAGTCAGTCACTGAATTTTAGAAGACAGGACCACAGAAGCAGAGCAATGCCACAAAACATTTTGCAAGATAGGAGGGACCCACAGCAAAATACTGAAAGATAAAGTACAATGTGGTGACATCAGTAGAAAACTCACATTGTTAAAGGCATCATACACATTGTATGCTTCAACTGTAGAGAGCATGTTGGAGGAAGCATGAATGGAGAAAAATAACTAGAATTGCATTTTGTGGGACAAATATAGCTGAGGCTTTCACCTGATTTCAAGGTAAATTAGGTATACAATAACTTCATATCTATTATCTGTTGATTTTTCTGTGTTGGAAGGGTGCATGGAAAAATACCACTGAAATGTTTATCAGCATTAGCAGATCAAGAAAACTTACTGCTGGTGAAAATTTAAGCAGCTCAAATTTAAAGATTCTCAGTAAGGCATGGCATGTTGAGAATTCATTTGGAATGTAAACATGCTACATTTGTGAGGGCAGAGTACAATACTTTGGCTGAGTTCAACAGCTGGTTGCAGCATACCAGGGAGATGTGGTAATAAAGACCTGCAGTTTTTAGGCTGCAATGTCTTCATCAATTCACATAAGAAGGCAGATGGAGCCTCTCAAATATCAAGTACTCCTTTCTATCAAGATTCCATTACCTGTAAATAGCTTAGCTTCAGTTTAGTCTCACACAAATTTTCATAAGCCATAAAACCTCTAATGGTTAAGTTACTTTGAGGAACAAGGGATACAGATTAACTCAATGAGTGCTAGTTATATTCAAAATAACCACAAACTCAAATACTTTACAGGAAGAATAAAAATACACACTCTAATAGAAGGAGCACAGTTTGTTTGCAGCAAACAGTGGAAATCAATTTGTCTAGTTTCTATACCTAATGTGAAAAATTACACTTTTTATTTTTCCTTTCTTTATTCCTCTCATTTCCTCATTTATTTTCTTTTTTGAACCTTTCTACCTTTTCTGCCTTCTTCACTCTTTTATCTTTAAACTTTCCTCTTTTTTTGTTGTTTTGTTTTGTTTTGTTTCTAGGACAGGAGAAAGAGCAGAAGAAATTAGCTAGGACTTAAACCTGCACACCACAAGTTTTGGTGCAACAATAATACAAAAAACCCCACATTTTCCTAAGACTGTTCTCAATGAGGAAAGCAGAAGGAGAAGCACCACAACACAAGCCATGGTCAATTTTTCCTGCAACCACATATTGAAGAAAGCACTGCCAAGACATCTGCAGAGGAGTGTGCAGATCTGGCTGTTCCCACAAGCACATAATACTCACTCTGAGGTTTTCAAAGAACTGCAAATTAAATCTGAGTGAACCAGCTGCTGAACTCCCTGGTTAGCTGGACTGTAACTGCTGAGGCACAGAATACCTTCCACTGGCCAGGCATTTCTGGGCCTTAGTTGGTTTCAGTTGCCAGCTAGGCAGAGGGTCACACGTTTCTCCACCTGCTTTTGCTCACCTCAGATGAGCCCCAACATCCGAAGCTACAAAACAGTGCTGTGCTCTCTCCTCTCTGGCTCAGCTTCACAAAAAGAAGTTGTAGTTTCAGCAAAACTAAGGTGGAACCAGTTACAGATCTGGGACAATAAAGCCAAGAACTGAGAAAGTCCGTGAGTATAATTAGATGGGAGAGGAGGAGATCAGAAGTCAAATACAAAGCAGTATATGTGGGCATCTAGAATACAGGGCCAATGAAACCAGATGTAATGTCCCATGCAGGAACTGATACAGACAATGATTATCAAAAAGCCTCTGTCCACCTACTCCAAGTGAAAGCCTCAGTACAGCCCATCCTAAGCATCTATAAACCACAAGTCAGGCCTCCCGAAATCATGTTGCCCTAAAAAAAAAAAAAAAATATATATATATATACATTGCCTACTGTGTCAGTTTATTTTTCCAGGAAACCTTCTATCTTCACTATGTAAGTAAACACTTCAATAGTCACTACAAAAAGGAAGCAGCAGTTAACAGCCCCCTACTCTCCATATGAGGGAAGCTCCATCTATCATACCAAAAACCTCCCCACTAGGCAGGTGGGTATTTTAGCCAACCTCTCCTGTCACCTCTAGTCTCACCTGTACTATTTCATGGGCCTTCTCATGCCCCTCACACACCATCTCCTTCATCTCCTCAGTCTGTCTACACATCTCCATTGCCCCATCTCTCTCACACTGCATCTCACCCATCCAGGCCCATCACATGAGGTTTTATTTTTTGTTTTTCTTTGTTTGGTTGTTTTGTTGTTTTAGTGTTTGGGGTTTTTTTTAATACATTGGAAGTGTCTTTAAATGACTAAAATAGATGACATCCATCCTGCCATTCTGACTCCACTGAAAGTGATGGGAATTCTGCAGTTATTTTGAATGAGGAAATAAAACTGAGGAGATGGAGGGCAGGAATAAGGAAATTACATGTAAATTAGGGACATCTCAGTATCACTGGACTAAATTCACAGATACATGTCATAGAGAAGAATAATGATATGCTCACTGCTTACTTATGCTTTGAGTTAATTTGGTCCAGAACAATTTTTTTTTAATTTATGAAGATGAAGAAAAGTACTTTCAAAACATTAAAAAGTAGTTTTTGCAGGTGTCCACAAAATTATCACAACCTCAACAAAAACACCTGTATTGTTTTGGAGACACAGATTTCTTTGTATGCAGCACTATTTTGTACAGCTATGACTGTACAGCTATTTTGTACAGCTATGACAGCATTTGCATAAAAAGGTTCCTGAAAGTCAAATTTTAAGGACAGTTAATTCATCTCCATACCCACATTAATATTCTTATCAATTCATATGTGAGGTTATAGTGAAACCCTCTTCCCTTTTTATCAAAGAGCTTCAACTTGAATTATTTCTAACCTTTATCCTGGATATATAAAAAGTTACTTCAATGTATAACTCAACTACAGGGGTATTGCTAACATTTTTAGCTCTCTAAAATTAGAATTTTGGGATTTATGGTGTTGGTGCTACACCATTCATCAAGTGAAATGCCATTTTGTGGGATATTCATTATTTTACATACAAGTTTCCCTCTAAACCTTCTGTGGTTTTCAGTACACCCCACTATTTTACCTTGAATTATATAGTAAAACTTAGAAGCCGTGTCTCAAAACAAAAAATTTGTGTTTATCATCTCCCAGTTAAAACAGTGATTTTCATTATGAATTGTAATCTGTAATATTGCATCTTTATTCAATGCCAATTTAGCATTGCCAGGTGTCTGAACTATGGGAACAGGCAATGCAGTTACCCTTGGATCACCTCTTGAAGGCAAGTTTCAGAGAGCTGCCACTGGCAGAGAGGCTGCTCATCCAAGCATGAATGCTACCAGAAGCCCAGAAAAAGAGGATTCTCATGCTTCTGTGCAGGTCACTCTGGACCTCTTGCTGAAATCAAATACTGTTGCGAAAAACAGTGGAGAAGAGAAGCAACAGAGAAAGGCAAATATTACCTCTCCTTTGCAGAGACACTCAGAACTTTACAAGGATAACATCAAGCACCCATTGCTCCTCCACAGTTGTTAACTCTGCAGAAGGGTTACTGCTGGTTGTGGTCAAGCAATTTAAAATGCAATGCACAACTAGAACAATTTAAAGATGAATTAGTCACCACTTACTCTTGTTAGCAAAGCATCTTCCACATTTAAAGCAAGTGCCATATAGTGATCATCAGATAGAGCCAATTCTTCACCCTGAAACAGTGCTTGGTTTTAATCAAAGCATTTACTGCAATGAATGAGTTTAACCTCCAAAGGGAGACTGCTATTCATTAAATAGTTGAATAAAGTTTTACACACAAATTCTGTTACATAATAGCCAAATGAGACACATACATCAGATAACAGTGTCCCAGCAACTCAGAATGCTTTGCCCACACCACCATTTGTAGACCTAACCAGATCCATATTTTCTTCCTAGGAGATTCTGCCAGGTTAAAAAAGGTGGAGAAGGAGGAATAAAAACCACTTCAATGGTAACTAAAAAATTAAGAGTGTTTTTGCCAATGGAACATAGTTGTTTGGGGCAGTGTCAAGAAAAAAAAAAGAAACCCTAAGTCTTTTAACATAATTTGAAATCAGATCCTCCTCAGAGGAATGGAAAAAATTAAAAAAAAAAGAAAGCTGTTGTCCCAAGGCTAAGGATGAAGGCACACTACAATATTTCCAACTGAAGGTCGCTGCCCCTGTGACCATCCTCCTACAAACATGTACTGCTGCACTGAAACAACATAAGGCTCAGGGTACAAATGAAGAGAGACTAATTTCATAAAATTTATTTTCATGTAAAAGAATCCAACCAATGTGTCTGATGCTAATACTGCTTTGACTCTATTTGCTTTTAGAAAGCACGGCTGGGACGTGGAGGCAAAGAGCAGGAGCCAGGAGGATTAGAGGAGTCTACTCTGACGTGTAACAGCAGAAAGGCATCACCACCTCAAGATGGGGGTTTGAGTAGGTGAAAGAGGTGCATGTGATGCCATCTCCTCCCTTCTCATATTCCTATTCCTAACACTGCATCACAATTCCCAGCCCTCATCATGAAAACGCACTTCTTTTTTGCACATAGCAATAAGTTTATGGCAAAGACCACAGTTACATTAGTACAACTGAGAGCATTGCTTGAATGGGAAAGAGCAGCCAGGACATGAGAAAGGGCAAGAACTTCTTGTCTCCAAAGAAAACACACTGCAGAGCACCCTCCTGAGAGCTCGGCTGGCTTCAGCCAGGCTCCTGACTCTCCAGAACTACTCCCCAGGCCTTGGCCGAGTGCATCTGCTCCCTCTCAGCATCAGCTGCATTTGCCATAGTAGTGTTAATTTCACAATAGTAACTGTTTTCTGGTAGCCCTTCTGCTCTGGTATAAAGAAAAAATCGTTTACATTAAACAAACAAACAAACAAACAAAAGCATTTGTTGAAAGAGAGACAAGTTTGATAATGTGAACCCTGATGACTCAACACATCTAGAAACAAAAAAGTTGCATGAAATTAGAAATGTGTTAATGGGTTGAATTTATATCTTCGTGGACTGACTCAAGAGCACGAGGTTCTATACCTGCAACACTCCCATGTGCACTTGAATAGGACACAGGGTTGCTTTCCCTCAATTTGTCCATGGTTACTCCCAAAAATAATCAACTTGTCCATCTTTATATAATATGAAAATAACTCAAAAGGGGTTCTTTTCTCTCTATAAGCACACACATGCCCACAACAAAGCATAATATTACAGAATTAAAAGGGGGGGGTCATTGGCTTTATCCACTCCCAGACAGAATAAACAGATTAATGAAGTTTGAGAACACCTGCTCTCCTTTGCCCTGCCCTGCCACCAGCACTGTGTTGGAAGCAGTTCCATGTCAAGGTGAGCTACCATAAGAGCTTGCTCTTGCCAGCTGCACACTCTGTGCTGCCTTGTTTGTGCCAGCTTTTATGTTGTTCATCAGAGTTCTCCATGAGCCGGTGTAACTTATGCAATGCACAGAAACAAGCTGGCAAAAAATGACGACACTTCTGTGGTTCTAGTGAGTCAAAACAGTACAGCAGAAGGTAAGCCACTAACTAACAGCCTCTGCCAAGGAGAAAGCAGTTTGAGTGACCTTGGATAGATCATTTTCTCCTTTACCTCAGCTTCCTTTTTTGTAAATGACGCTCATGCAGAAAAAGGCTATTAGAAAAGGTGTTTTTCTTCTGAATGTTCACAAAATTCATCCAGTTGTTTTGGCCAGACTTGTTTTTGTTTTCCCATGTGTTCAGTTTCCTGTGGCTAACCAGAAGCCAGTTATTTGGTAATTGGAGGCTAAATTGAAAGAGGTAATCCGTGTCTTCCTAACAGTGTGCCCACTGTCCATGACCAGCAGTGAGCTACTCCCATATGCAAGGCTCTAGCTAGTGTTGCATAGCATCAGCTCTGGAGGCATATCAGCCTCTGCACAGCTGGCTGAAGTTCTTCTGACACAGAACTACTTCTCAGCTGTGTAAACCTGCAAAAGGTTTGGGCACAACATTGCTTCAAGAGATGGGAGGCTGAGAATCGGCTCAGCATTCCTAGCCAGCTGAAATTCAATGCCTCAGTCAGGATTTTGAACATAAGTAAATTTTACTTATATGTTGCCAAGGTCTCAGACAGATATTCCCTCTAGAAACAGCACTTCTACAAAGACAGATTTAAACCAGAATTTGGATCTTTGGAGATGGGACAGGTACAGGAGAAGAGTGGCACTTGGCACCTTCCTCAAGGTCCCCTGGCTTCAATTGGGAGCCTGAAATGCTAAGAAAATGCTCATTTTAAACCACCATTTCCTGAAAAACATGAAACCTTTCAGATTCTAGGAAGTTTTATCAAAGTCCTTAGCAGCTACAACCAAGGCTACTCCCTCTCTCCACCAATGCTCTAAGTGTTTTCAGGAGACATACACATCAGGAATTGTTGAGATCAGTCAATAGCAAAAGCTGCTCTCTCCATAGAATCTTGTTTTCATCCCCTAAAACTTTCCTTTCAAGTGAAATGTGTAAAATTCAAATGCAGAGGTATCAGACATCTAGTATTTTTTTGCATAAAAACTGCAATTTGAACAATCATCAATAAGTTATTCTTATGGTGGAAAGAGATCACACAATTCCACTATACTTTCTGGTAGTTAAAAATAAACCCAAGAAACCTTTCCTAGATTTTTTTCTTGTTATTATCTCAGAATCTTGAGATTTAACATTTAACCTTCCTGCAGCCCTTCAAATAGAGCAGACATATCTGAATAACTAAGGTTGTCTTGGATACAAAGAATGCATGGCCTGATACATTATTGACTGGCCCCTTGCTCAATATATCTTTCACAGTTTCACTGCTCTGAGTCATAAGGCTCAGATTTGACTCAGAATAGGTCATAAAAGTCATTTTTGTTCTAAGTACTAATTCCATGTATTTCAGCATTATGGTTGGAACATGTGCAATAAAGAATATGGCAGGAATTCTTTCAGAGGATGGATTTATAAATGCAAATATTTTGGTTCAACAAAGCCATTATGCAACTTACTTTCAACTCTCAAACACAATTCAAATTCAAATAAGCCAGCTAGTGGGATGTTGCACTTTCTTTCAAACCTCATCAACAACAATGTGCAGCACTATGTAGTTTTCGTTTGTATGAGATTCAGCACATTTTCTTGCCTTATCTTCATATGGGTTTATACCTAATGAACCTAATTTAGAATTTGAATCTAACTGCAGAATTGCTTCCTAAATTTGCTGCACACATTGTGAAAGCTGAACCCCTTATATTACACAAATACATAGGGATGGCCTGGCTGTGAGGAAGACTCATGAAACCATCAACAAGAACAAATGACTACAAATAAACAAGAAGGGAGAATTAAATCTTATTCTTTTAAAACATTTATAAGCCTCTGTGAAATATTTGGCAGCCTTTCAGAGAAAGGACATTGATGTAGTCCAGAGAGAGTCAACAAGAATGACAAAATTTGATTGTTAACATGCACAGAAAGTCTGGAAAAACATGAATACCATAAATTGAAATCTAAGCTTTTAAACTTTTCAACTTGTGTTTCATAAAGGAATGGAGCAAAACCAGCACTCCAAGAATAAGACAGTGCACTTTGCAGAGCAATAATGGTGTTCCTTGTGGGGTTTTAGGAGTAAGAGCTCTGTTGGCCTACCTCTGTGGTTATACACTGCTTAGCACTGAGGAACCCTGAGCCTAACTCTCAGCTCTTTAAGCGTTTTTACTCAGACATCAGCATTCCTTCATTTATACAGATTACACCGGTATCCTGTCTGTACAAAGTGCAGATCCAAAGATTCAATTCAGTAAACAGACAGCATATCCAAGGCCTTTCAATTACTTTGTCATTTCACACAGTTTAAAGATCAAGAAAACACAGATAAGTTAAAGGACAGATTAACACTTTTTTTTCCCCTAGAAAGGTGTGCTGCTGTGCACATGTATTGCCATCTTTATGGGAGGGTGGAAGGATGGACACATATACCACAGAAAGAGTGTCTGTATGCACGATGAGTGTGTTTCCTGTGCCCTGAATCACGTTTGAGGATATATAGTATTTCCTCCTCTCCCTTTTCTGTCCTCACTCTGAGCCTTATTTAGTGGCATTGGTTTTACATTTAAGGCAATTTAGACTGAAAATAACCATATGTTACTCTTCATGACCCTTTGCTATGGCTGGATCTTGGTGTCAGAGCTCTGACATTATCAGGCTGATGACAAACAAACCTTTTGAAATTCCAACACCCCCAGGGCAAAGAGCTTCCTACTCCAGCACATGGCTGTTAAGTGACCCGACTCTACTCCCATGATGAAGCTAGACTGAAATGTTCTGTTCTTCTCCATTTCACCTTCATTTGTGGCCATCAGACAACCTCTGCCGCTGTAAATTTCCACCGATTTATTTAACTGACTGAATTTTGAAGCCCCACCTTGTCTGCTAAACTCAGTAAGTGCTAAACATTAAGAGGAACAGGAGGAGTAATTTTTTTTCAAAGTGAAAGCATGAGCAAGACATAAGGAAGACATTTGGATGACTGAGGGCATCCTTACACTATGCAGTGGAGTATAGCAGAGAGATCCTCAAACTGTCACACAATAAATGAGCTCCAGAACAAGCAGCAATGTAACTATATCAGAACCTCACTATTCGTTAAGCTAATTACCTTTGCTGAGAAGCACCACATGAATGCAATTATGGCATTTCGAAGATGCAAGATCCCTGGTTTTGTGGCTAAATAAAAACAAAAATCCATTTCTGTTAATGCAAAACTTTAAAAATAGTGATTTTGGCAAAAGTAACATTAAAAAACCCAGACACAATCCTTGTCAGCTAGTCATTGTGGGCATTTTATATAATATATAAGGCTACACTCATAAGGACATAGAAATGGCCCCGAAATCTCTCTGATGTCCTCTACAGCACAGTCTTGGCACCTTTGCAGAGGAGTGCGTCTCACTCACTTTCTCTGCCTCACTGTGAGTAAAAGTTTGAACTAAAGCTTTGTTGCCTACTCCAAGCAAACAGGGAGACCCACTACATTCATCCTTTTCCACCAGTTCCAGTACCCAGAAAACTACTGGCCAGTGAGAAAGACTGGCAGTGTAGTGGTAATAAACAAATTCTTTGGAGAGGTTTTGGTTTCATCTCTTAATCCGGTACATATTTCAGAGAAGCAGTTTCAAAGACCAGAAGAAACCACCCTGAATTCTCTGCAGCCTACGGCAAAACAAGCTCCACAGGACCATGTTTCAAATTCTCTCCCAAACGTGGCAAAGAAGTAACTTAAGGAAAGGTGCTCTTTTTCCTCCCACTCTTCAAAATGAGTATTCTGACCCCTGTGGGCTTCCAGGGCAAACAGTAAGCCCTTTGAAATTTTTTTCTGAATTTTTTTTAAACAAGTTTCATCACATTTACCCCACTGCCACCATTAATCCAT